AATGTACGACTGTGAGAAAACCCAGCTCTGCTGACTCTAACGTCTGTCCAGATTTGGATGGTGAAATTATTCGAGGAAGTGGAGAAGGCGTCACTTTTAAGGGTCTTTCTGCGAGCTGCCTGAACAGAGAAATAACAGCTAATTAAACTGTCAGCACTCGCAGCTCTGTGCTCCCTGGGAGAGCGGATTAAAGCAGCAGCAGATCTGTCCGCCCTGACTCAGCTTCCACACAGAGATGCTGCGTGAAGCCACCGAGCCGCCACACTCGGGAACGTCTGCTCAGGTGACACTGCTGGCTGAACTGGACCGGGCCAGGAGAGATCATAGCAATCCAGCGCTCCAGACTAACATCTCGTACTGGTGGCACCAGGACCAGATCTGGCAGCACCACAAAATAAAGAATATATTATCTGCAAACTGTGCTAAATGACTGTGCATATACAGTAGGTGATGAAATTCAGGGACTTTCATCATATGGTTCACAATGAATGGAAACAATCCACTTCTGGGACCAGTCTCCTCTTTTGATGTAGTTCCTTTACTGCTGACGAACAATAACGTTAACCATGACAAATCAACAGGGCTGTGGCCCTGTGCACATGCCCTGTAGCGCCCATGGTAGCAGCACTGCTAACGTTAGCTCGGCTACAGCACAGCTAGCCACACAGTGGCTCTCTCACAAGGACAGAAACCTGCTCGTAGTGTCTGTCAGAGCTCCACCCGACTCCCTGTCACTGCAGCGGAGAAACAAAGTCAAACAACAGCTTCTGACGGCTGTGAGCTCTGGCTCTGTCCGTGCTACCCTGACCAGTGGTCGCTCTTCCCTGTTACCTTTGACCCTAAGCGTCACACATTACGCAATCACAAGGACAGGTCTGCCGCTCCTTCATGTTGCATGTTTTAGATATGCTGGCGGAGAGGCTTCAAGCAGAAGGTGAGGGTGTTGCCACCGGTGGCCAGAGGGGGAATACCTACTTAAAGTGGTCCAGAGACACCAGCACCAAGCTATTACCAGCTGAGACATTTATCCACTGGGTGAGGAGGGCACGTGAGCCGCCAGGCTTGTCTAGTAGATCGCTTAGCTTTTGCTGTGCCATAATAAGTCCTTTCTGTGTATTCGTCTTCCCTTGTGTTTTAAGAACTGTAACAATTAGGAAAATTAGACCAATAATTAAATGAAAACCTTTGTTTGAAACCATTTTTGCAAACCATGCATGTTGAAAACAAGGTACACAGAGTAGAAATGAAGATCTGAGACAGAGAGGAAAGACGCCTGCACTCTGTCGAGTGTTTTCTCCTCATGGTTCTGCTTGATGCAACAGCAATGAACTATGATCGAGTACAGTTAAGCATCATCTACCTGGCCAACAAACATTGCAAGACACTCATCACACCTCCTGTATCGACACAACTAGTCTGGGCGATACTGAATATGAACTACAGCAGGTGCAAGGTGAAAACGCAGGTGCTGTTCCTGAGCTCCTAGAAAGGCGTCTCTGTTCCCAGAACAGTTCTGCTGGACAAAAACAGCAACCGATGCTGTGATGGTGAGCGCTGATCAATACTCTGGACTGTGTGATTCTTTGAAAGGTGCTGAAAAACAGGCCTTTTATATCTGACAGGATGTGACATCGATGTTTGCGTCTTTCATGGGAGTTAATGGCCATGAAAACACACATCAGAAACACAAAGGAAATGAATGCAAAGGATTATACGGCTCAGGAGGGTTTTTAAGCTCTACAATAAAAGCTATAGAGCTGCTCTCAGGTTTCATATGGCGCCTTTACTGCACAAAGGTTGAAGATAATAAGCAGGATGCTGGTTCCAGCCTGCAGGACTGATGTCAGAGCAGAGAGCCACAGCGCGGCCTCGTCCATCAAACAGCAGCTCGTGTTGTCTCAGCGCCCGGCACAGGAAAGGTCAGGCCTGCTGCTCAGACACTGAACAAACAGCACCGCACCGTGTGGGGCTTTTCAGCCGCACAGACACACACACTCTGAGGGGAATCCAAGAACACACATTACCACTTACATACAAACTAACCCAGTGTGAGTTCAGACATCCCTGGACACACGTAGACAGACACACACACACTCGCACAGTTGTAACACATACGAGGCAGGCAGTGCAGTGCTGGAACACCTGTCGTCAAGCTGCAGCCGTGGTGTTGACACAGCCGCACCGACAATCACTGTGCACCTGTCCCTGGTTAAGACTCTAGTCCACCTGAAACCGCACCCAGCAGTGGTGTCAGTGCACACGGGCATGCTCGGATTGTGAGACAATGGGCCCCGGGGCACAGACCTGCACTCACACGCAGCAGTCTGATCTACTTCTCTCCTCTGCTGCCATCCTTCTTTAACCTTTGACCTATCATCTTTATTAGGTTTACAGTACTTTCTGGTCAACTCCAGGTTTTCTACCTTTCTTATTTCTCCATCCACATAATATCACAATGACAAATAATCCTCATTCATCTCGCTATGGGAACGTTCGCGCATTGTTCCACAGATGTTAGCCTTCATGCTAATCTTCTTAGCCGCACCAGAAAACAAAGAGCTAGTCCCCTGTGGTACAAACTGTACTACAAGCGACACCAGACACAAACTGATTCTAATGAGCCGACGGGCTGGAACTGCCAGAGGTGCTGCCTCTGCAGACTTCGTACCAACAGCTTGTTGATGTCTGCAGTTCTTCACATCTGACATCTTGTCAGTGTATTTAAAAAAAACCAATTTCTCCAACTTACAAATACGAGGGTGACCAACGTTTCTGCCCGCTCAGCTTCTCGCAGCATCCATTTAAACCACATGACGTTAATGCAGCATTATGTCCTACCAGCATCCTTCTGCCTCCTGCTGGCCTCGTGTCCGGCTTCCTCGGCCACCTCCCTCATCGTCTTGTCCCCAGCCTCCCCCTCTTACACACCTGCTGCCTTTCAACATTCTTCCCTGGCCACCTGACTTCCTTCCCACCCACCGAGCTCTACCTGCCCTGTTTGACCAAGTGAGTCAGACACAGTTAACAAAAACCAGAGAAAGAAAACAGAGACATTCTTCATCTCCACAGTTGGGGGTCATGACCTATAAACTACAGGACTCTGCAGCTGCCCAGGGACACTTCATTGACTTGGGGGGTGGAGGGTAGAGGGTGGCCTTGATCTAAGATGTAAGTGCGTCACTGTGGGCTGTGTTTTTATACCACATTTATTAACTTATCAAACTTCAGTTTACACTTACTTAATCTACCCGTTTATTTACATGATAAAATGCTGAGGTTAACATGAACGTTTTTATCATAGTGGCATGAATATAATACAGTACTTATGTCATTCTCAGGAATAAGCTGACCGATAGATCGATCAGTGCAGGAATGTGAACAGTATTATTTTAACAGATTAGATAAAAATGATATATGGAATAAAAGTCAGAAGGTAAAACAGTTAACACTGTTTAGTGTTAGTTATTTTTTATCATGCATGTTATTAAGTCTGTTATTTCACAGGGTGTTGACATGACATGCTTGATTTCTGATTAACTGCCTATGAAACCAGCAGCCAGCCGACCACACAGAGCTACATGCTGCCCTGGGACGGAGCCTGTGGCGGTGCAGATCATGTGCATGAAAGCAGGGGATCAGCCAGAAGGTGGGAAGTCAGTGGTCATGAGGAAACCCCAACGGGCACAGCCGCATGTTTGATCTACATCTATCAAACTCATTAAAGGAAAACACCAGGACACATCCAGTGACACACGTTGCCCTCTGGTTACTGCACACACTTCAGGGGCAACATGTACACTATGCTGACGCTGCAGGAATATTATAGAGATGTACTATAAACACACAAAGATGATGTCTTGGAAGATCATACGAGGATTGTTTGATGAGATGCTGTGATATGTGGGTCACTAAAATATAACCGTTTCTCTTCATATGCCCTGTGTGTGCACATAGCTATGCACCAACCTCGGCTGAACCTCACAGATAGAGAACATTAATTTCTCTGAGCAAGTTTAAAGTATTATTACCTGATAATCTCTGTGATTCATGTGACTGTTTTTACCACGTTTGTGTTTCTCGATGGAAAAGCAGATGGTGATCTCAATGAAATATTTCTATGAAGTGAAAATAGCAGGTACAAGAATTATTAATATTAGGAGAATGTTGGTATTGTTTTGTTTTGTAATACAAATACCATAAGAATTATAGATTAAAAATGTCTCATAAAAGTCTAAGCCCTTTAACGTTGCATTAAACTCGGTCTCACACATATTAAAAGAGAAATGACAGGTGCCACTGACGCACGTCGAGTCCCAGAAGAAATATTACAGTTGTTCCAAAGAAGTAAACAGGCCACAGTAGGACAACCAGCAGCGGCCGCGGCCCCAAATGGATGCCCTCTTACATAAACAGACTCGGTTAATTAATGGAAAGGGGTGGAACGGCTCGGCTCGGCACGGTTGATATGGAACGGGTTGCATAGGAACATAGGAAACAGGGTCTCTGGGGGGCCAGCGGCTCACAGCAGGGACGAAGAGGGGGATAAACCGGTGTCGGATTTACTTCAACATGAGTGTTTCCAGGACAACATTGATCCAAAATCTCAGTCTGTGACAAAATGACCAAGAGGAAGGCTGAGATCAGGTGCTGAGAAGAACAGCCTAAATAATCAAATGACCAAATTCCCCCATGGTCTTTTAGGTGTCTCACTGTTGCCATTTAATGGAAGAAAAGTTTTGACACCTTTTAATTCGCCTTTTGTCCATAAATGCGCTAAAACACCGCTGTGCGTGTTATCGGGCCGATGCACGGCGGGTTACAGATGAGCTCACAAGCGAAACAAACAAACATGAAATATTTCTCCATGCCAGAACAGATTCTTTGTGCCGCAGGTGATTTCAGGATCCGCTGGCTCTAAAAGGTCGTAGTTCAGCCCTGAGGAACATGTTTACTCCAAACCTGTAAAAGGTCATTTAAAACACACAGACGCGTGTACTCACATGTGAAACTCCTGCGTTGAAAACTGCGGGTGTGCATGTCCTGCCTGTCACACCATCACCGCTCTGCTGCGTCCCGTTCACAGCCGCCACATCCCACCCGTAGAGGAGGCGCGCGGGGGCCGATCCATTAGTCAAACACAAAAGTTTTTGTAGTAAAATCTCTCTGAAGGAAAAAAGGATGATGAAGGCTGTGTTTTTATTCCAAGGAGAGTGGTGACGATGACGGACAAACGAGGAGAGACGGGAGCGCAGAAATGTCTCTCCAGCAGCGGCGGGGGAGCGGACTGTGGCGCGGACTGTGGCGCGTCCGTGCAGCCGGGGAAGGGGACTGCGCGCCGGGCAGCTTCACCCCGTTTGCTGCACGTCCTCCGGCATCTTCCCAACCTGAGCCGCTTTAATCCTCCGGCTTCACTTTTCTTGTATCCCCCCTAAATCCCAGTAACACACTCCTCGGCCGCAGGAAAGGGGATTTTTAGTTTCTTCTCATCCGTTTCAGGTGTGATGATTAACAACACAGGACTCCGGGAAAAAGTCTCCTTGGCTCCAGTTGTTGCTTTTATTTTTTAATTTCGGAGAAATAATTTCACGGCGAAATAGTTGGAAGTTTACCGTGAGATCGGAGTGTTCTGCTGCGCTTTGGTGCCTCGTAGGTTGGTACGACTGACCAGCCGGACTCCCATCATCCCAGCCGCTTAATCGCCCTGGATGCGGGGGGGAGGGTGTGAGAATGGAGAAAGACAGCTGCATGTGTCGAGCTCTTACTTCACTGTCAGCAGTGTTTCAGGATACCTATGCTGGGTCACCTGGCAGCATTTTTACATTTTAATATGACAATCCTGAAAACTTTTCCGCATTACTTTACAGCTCCGACGATACGTCTTTCCTTTGACCTGGTTTGGTGTCAAGGGATAGAAAGAGATTGTCATGCTGCAGCATGCTGTCATGTTTTAGACGACAGACTTTTTCACACTGTGAATGTTCTTCCTTGTCTCTGTCCTGTTTCAACATGACAAAGCCCCCTCTGCACAAAACCACATCCAATATTCCCAGTGTGTGCTGGTCTGCACACTGCCTTCTATCACAGCCAGCACCGGCTGCGACCCAGACCATCACCAGGTCAAGGGGTGGACCTCACTAATGACCTAGGGTCCAAGTGGGAGGAAACCACCGCAGCCAGGCTCAGCACCTGGCTGAAAGACGGACTTTGCAGCTATCACCTATGACCGAGATGTTTGGGTGTCCATGTAGATTGTGTAAATTATTTTTCTGATAATTACTAAAGTTAAATAAACTGCTCAAAGGACTTTTAAAGCAACGTGATCAAGTCAGTTGTCTCTTCTAAAGACCAAATTCACATCTTTAAACCTGTTAAAATCATTAGAGACAAAGGACAGTCGACGACAGCGGTGATGGTAAAGAAGAAACCAACATTAGAAATGACAGGACGGACCAGTTATTATCCCCAAGTAATAACTCGACCTGGAGACTTGTCCTAAAGCTGAGCACCACAAAACATTTTTATCTTAAGTATGAGCTTATAAACCATATAGCACGTGGCATTTTCAGATTTGATTCTATTGAATTATGTGTGAAAATACGCTTGGTTCAAGCAGTAGCGTCCACTTTCTCCTATCCTCTATCTGTGGTCTTTAGCCAACGTCCCGCCGGTTCCACTCAGTCTACTGTCAAATGTGCGACGTGCTCCCCCTTGTGTTCAGTGTTGTAACTACACCACAGGTCCGGATTTTAGGACGCCCCCTTTTCTCCAGTTCTCTCATGTACTAAGCAGTTCAAGTCCAGTGAGTAACCTTAAATGGTACAAAGCTCAGAAGTACACTCCCAGAGGCAGTTATGGGAATTTCTGACTGGGGAGGCAAGGGTGTTAATGTGCGTGCACAGCGCACACAATTCCTTTATAAGCTTTAACATGAGAGAAGCTGCTGTGGGCCCCGTCCCTGGCCGCGGTGTCTCCTGCTGCTGAGGGTTAGGTGTTAGGGCACATAGCAAAGCCTCAAACTAAAGTGTCAGGTTTGCTCGGCTGCACCTCTTTTCTCACTCCCCTCACTCTGTTTTCACTCCCTTACCCTGATTACGTTTTCCTTTACACCTGCTTCTTACCCCCGGATTACCACCAGCTGCACCTGATTAGTTTCTCCCTATTTAGTCCCTGCTCTTCGTTCACTCCCCTGCCAGTTCTTTCTAGTATTTCTCAGGCCCGTTTGTTCCCCGTCGTTCTTTTTGATTTGAGTGTTAGTGTTTTGTCTCCTTCTCTGCAGCTGCTTAGATCCATTCCCTCCTCACCTCAGTCGCTCCTTCGGACCACGGATCTCCTCCACTCTGATTCATCACCACCCTGCAGGTCGATGCACAGTCTACTACTTACCGTATGTACTCTTTCTGTTCATCTTCAGTACCATCCCACTCGACCAGTCCAGGAGTGAGTCCCAGTGTCCACAGCCCGGTCCTCTTATCTCCACCATTGACTGTGTTACCCTCCGAAGCTCGACACCCGGTCCCCATTACTACTCTACTGTTCATTTCTTGTCACTTATTTAACACTGTAAATAAACTAGCACTGCCTGCATCGAAGTCATCGTCTATTTGTGTGACTCGCTCACTTCTGTGTTCGAGCCATCCTAACATAAAGCCTTCAGGCCTTTTCTCTGTGGGACGTTATCAGTAAGTCAGTTTGATACCTCCACCCGAGTCTCTGCTATTAAAACTACAGGTTAAGAAACAGAAAGGCTGACTCTGCTGTTCACAACACACCAGTAACCAACCGTTTTAGCTCCTGGTTTTCATCAAATCGCTACCTACTCTTACAGAGTACACCGCAAACAAATTACACGTTAATTATTGGCACGTTAAAACTACTTACTGCCCAACAATGTAGGTGAAAGGGCAGGTTAGCTAGCAGGAGTTGATCATTTACGGTAATTAAGTAAAGAAAGTTCACATTCTGAACATGTAGCTACACTTAACACGTTTTACTGTTTAAGCCATTTATTTAAAAACAAATCTTGTCTGTCTCCTGCTGTGTAGGACACATTTCAGTGCTGTAAAAGCAATAATTAGCTAGTTGCTAATTACAAAAAGGGACAAGCCAACACTTAAAGGCACTTTATGGAAATTGTGAAGTTCTAATTTCCAAATGTATTAACACTGTTGTCATGGTTGTTCATACTCACTGCAGTTATACACGATTAGTTGTGTGGCTGCTGGACGCCGGGCCTTCACACTGACACCTTGATGTCCGCCATATTGGACTCGTTGCTAAAGAACTTAACATTGCTACTAACTCTTCACATCACTGTTACACTGGTAACACATCAAGCTAACTGGCTAGCTGTTGGTCAGCTCATATCATCCAAGCAAGGACAGCCACTAGTATTTCACATTAATACTACGTTAGTAACAGACCGCTAGCTAACACTGGCATTTGATGATGGTAATATGTCCAGGGCATGGCTGACAAAGCGTTCCTCATCCAAGACCTCCTGCTGACACTTGTAGGACTATGGTTCGTCTTACCATGCTAACTCTGAGAGACGAGGCAGTCCAAGTAACTTCAAAACAGTGCTGATTTATTCAAAGGATCACAGGTAAAATTAACATTACACGCTCAGGTATCTTGCACCTCCAAACTGCTCACAGGCAGATGTAAGATGAAAGACCCTGAACCACAACAGGCCTATACATTATATCCCCTCGGTTGGGCTAGCCCCATACTACACAGAAACGTCAACCGAGACGTCTCTGTTACCAGCTTTGCAGCTGGTCATAGCAGTAGTCAAAACATGAAGCAAATCAATGTGCATGTGTGTGTGTCTGTTGGTTAAGTGGTGTGTAGCTAAAAACATTCTCACACGACCTCTAGTAACATGTCGTGACTTAAACATAAGAACATATTATGGCTAAGGCTACAGTTATACACGTCATAATAATATTAAACATCCTGTCTGCTGACAGGGTGTTTAATATTAGAGTTGATGACTAATATTAGTTATCCTAATATTAATATTTAATATTAATATTAGTTATCCTATTTTTATCCTATTTTGATCAGGATAACTAATATTAAATGATTACTTAAATTGGGATGATTTGTCTGAATTGATTTAGTCTGCATCACATGAATGCACCACAGAAATGACCCTATTTTAAACACGTGAATCTTCCATTAGCTGTACACAGTGAGGACATGTTTATGATGTACAGACAACATTTTTATTTTTAGCATTAACAGAATTAAGGCATTACACTTTCTCACCCCACATTTATCTCTACTACTGCTGTCAAAAGTAGAATGCCAAAATAAAATCTTAAAATAAGGTTTATATAAGGTTTATATAAGGTTTAACAGCAAGTCATTCTTCATCATACAAAATAAATACATAGAGAATTGTCACACATTCTTTTACAGCCTCAGGCTCTGGCCATCACAGTGAGAACACCTGAACTGCTGACAGTGACTATGTTCACATGCACCCTCATATCCCAGTTAGTTTTCTCCTAGTTTTGAATATCTTTATGACTAGTCTCATTTTCACAGGATTCTAATCTTGCCCAGGCTTCTGATCACCTGTGCAGGTACATCTGGACACAACAGCAGCAGACAGCGGGGCCTACCACAGGTCGGTACTTCCCTCCCCTACCCTTTCACCATGTTGTGCATAAAGAAGAGCCAGTAGTAGGGCCATTAACAAAACCACAACAACAAATGTTGTTTTATCAACCTACTGAGGCACCAAAGTAAAGCTGGCTGAGTATTTATATATTTTAATTGTGTTTTAGTGCAGATCTCAGCTTTAATGTTTCAGGTGAAGATGAAGTTGTAGCTTCAGCAGAGTGTGTTGCCCTGTGTGTGCTGTGTAGCTGCAGCTGGACTACAGCAGGAACCTTGTTTCCCCTAGACTGAATCTCCCAAATAACCGTACATATTTTTAATGAGAGTTCTGTACTGTTACAACTATTTAGAGTCATAACAACTCCTTCAGATCGGTTTGAGCTGGACCTTAGGTTTTATTATTCCAGATACAACAAACATGTGTAATGGTGCTGTGTGACGTGCAGAGGTGTCTGGACCCAGGGTACCGGTGTGCATGAAAACATACGAGTCCATGGTGATTGGTCATGCTGGCTCATCAGATGGCCTCCTGTCTGAGGAACAGACCCAGTTCATCCTGTATAACCGTGTTTCGTGTTTCGGTGCCGGCGGTTCAAACGGTGGAGGGTTTCATTAGTGCCTGCTCACCAAACAGCTGCTTGAAGTGAGCCACATGCTCCTCACAGTGTTCTCCTGGTGAGACAACACACATTCACACCACATGATCAGTTATGACGGATGACAGCATTGATAACTGACACACGGGCTGCCAGCAGACGCATTTATAGACAGTTTGAACAACAAAGACCCATTTCTAAATTGTTAAAAATAAGAAAGTGAAATTTATTTCTTCTGAGATAAATGACCCTGACAGTTTAAGTTCTACCCAGTCTGGAGCAGTCTGAACGCAGGCGACACTATTTTTAAGATGCAGACCACTACGGCAGCGGGCTTGACACTGGGGGTCCAGCCCTGTGTGTCTACATGTAAGTGTCCTCACCGGGATTAAAGCTGGGGCTTCCTCTGAGCCGCTGGTTTCTCTGCTGGAACGACCTGAACACGGTGTAGAACAACATCTGGTCTCCAGTCTGCCGCGCTGCGTCCAGAAACTTCCTGGCTGACACGTTGTCATGTCCGCCTGCCCAGAGGAACCAGGTACATTAGCCACACTGTTAATGTTGATAGCAGGTAGTCACTACGCTTTGGAGGCTCAAACAGTTAACAGCGCCTCTTAGTGACATCTGCTGTAACAGGAAACAGGAAACGGCAACATACCGACACTGCGGATGAATCTGAGTGCGCACAGAACCTGCTGCTTTGACAGCAGAACCTCGACGATCTCGTCGTTGGCCGAGGACAGACGCTGACACACAAACATAAAATCAATCAAAGGAACAGGATTAAAATAATAAATATTATAATGTGAGTGCATTCGATACCTTCAACATGTCCAGCGATAGCTGGTGTGCAGGAGGGTACATACTCTCCAGAGACAGAAGTAAACAAGCCTGAAACCGAGATGAAAAGGAAAAGAGGTGAAATGAAGACAATACCTGGAAAAACAGTCCAAATGGAGAAACGAACACACAATCAGTGCCTAAAGAAGTCACGTGTGAATAGTACAGCTGATTTCTGACCAGGAACGGGATCAGTCAGATTTATGGGAACCACAGTTTAATGCTGGTTTTAATTGTAGGTTAGAGGCGGACTAGTTTCTAATGTAATAAAACCAGATTATGACCTGTATTAGATTAGGGTTAGATGACGTCTATTCAGATCAGATGAACAAATAACAGTCAGACTTGTTTGGGACCTCTTTCAGTACTAGTCCTTGCACTAGAGCTGGAAGGATTAAAGTCAATTAATCAATTAGTCAGTGGAGACAAAAAGAATCTGAACTCAACCTTCATAACTGTAATTATATGTAATAATGTGTTGTAACTGGAATATTTCCATATCAAATGTGCCTGCTTCTTAAATGTGACTATTTGCTGGTTTTCTTCGTCACCCAAACAAATCCAATCAAACTTTATATAGCACCCTTCATACAGGTTAATGCAGTTCAACATGATTTACAGATAAAAGACAATAAGGAACATTAAAAAAAGAGTAATAAAACCTTTTTTTTTTATCTGTCCATAAAATGGAATTAAAAGTAATAAGTACATCAAACAATTGTTAATTTGGGTTTTAGAAAATTGTATTTTGGGCATTTTTTTAAACCACATTCTGACATTTCATAGACAGTAACAGAGAAACAAACTCACCAGCGGTTTGGAGTCGCTGAGGACGTGGTACTGCAGGAACTGGTGCAGCATGTAGAAGAGGTTGTGTTGCACCAGCATCTTTATCAGCAGCTCGTACAGGTAATGCTGTCACACACCGACACATTACGTTAACACACCGATATTCCACCTCTGTACAACTCAGTGGGGACACATGTCCACACTGATGACAGATAGTGTAAATACAGCTAAAGAACCTACAGTGGGTGCTGACCCAGCAGTCAGAAGTCAAGACAAACGAGGTGCCACTTTACCTGCACCGTGACCTGGAACTGGTTCAGGGAGCGGATGTACTCCATCAGCACCGCAATGACAAACTTGTAGGAGACACCCTGCAACATGCACACGCAACAGCCGTCATCTTAAATGATGTTCAACCTCCAAGTGTGTGTTAATGTGTGTGCTTGTGTGCGTACCTTCTTCTCTGTGAAAGACGACAGCACGTGCGTGTACATGTCTGACTGGTCGATGACTGCCTGAGTCCTGACCGGACGCTTCTGAGCGGCGCTGCCTCGACTCGGGCCAGACTCCATCGTCTGCAAACACAACGTACACTGGACATCACCATGGTCATCTGAAGTATACACACATTACACAAACAGGATTAAGCTTTGCCCTTAGTCTCGACTGTAAATGTAGTCGAGTGTCGCTGAGTTTTCTGCTGTTAAACGACACTCTGAAAATATTGTGCCATACACATATAAGAACTAAAAATACTGTTATACTGGTGAAATATTTTTCTAAAATAATGTTTTAGATCCCAAACAAAAACTGTCCCATGCTCTGTAAATAAAATCAGCCACCAAAGCACAGCTCAGGTTTCATATAACCACTCGTCCAGAAAAACACATTAGAAACTGCCATTTTACAGAAGTGAAGCCCTTAAATCATCTTATAATGACCAACAGAGGATAAAATAAACTTCATCTTCTGCCTCAGCCACATGCCATAGCAGTGGCACAGCCCCAGAGAGAGCAGTAAACATATCGGCCTCGCAGTGAAGTTCTGCTCCACACCGACTCGACGCCACACTGCTTCGTACCAGACCTTCTGTCTTTTGTTGTTGGTACCTCAGCACATTAACCTTTTCACTTCTCTGATGGTTTCTCTGTGAGTTTACAGCGTTTACTGTGTAAAGGGTATCTGAGCCAAGTTACACATTTTATACTGACTTCCAAGTTTTTATTTATCGTAATCCTTCTGGCACAGACTCTCTCATACTGCAGGAGCCCGGGACGCTTCATGCACATGGAACATTTGCTCTTTGAGCTGAGGAGGCACGTTGTTGCAAGAACGTCAGCTCTTTGCTGCTCCTGCCTCTTTGCAGGCGTTTTCTCGCTAGTCCCAAGTTGAAGCAGCCGGTCATCACTCACCGCTACATAGCTCTGCTCAGCCTCCAGATATTCTTTGTACACCTGGTTGAGTTTGTCAAAGACGGTCGCCACAACAGGAAGACTTCCCTTCTCGCTGCCCACCAGAACTGAGGAAAACACAGACGATTTAGCTCCACAGCTTTAGTGCAGGACGACAGCATCTGTTTCTACTTGTTTTTGCTGTAAACTGACTATGGTGGCCATCTTTCACTGTTCCACTTGATTTCTGATCTGTATTTTAGTATTCTGACTGGTGTTTGTTTAAATTGA